CAAAAATATATTAAGTACTAAATGTATACAAAGTGAGAGATATATTACACAATTAAGTCATTTTTTCCGACTAACCAGAAGCAGTCGGTCATAATGATTGAATATGTATAGTTTAACAAGTTGAAGGGTAAATGTGGACGAAAAAAACATCAAAACCAACAAATCATAAACACTATTTTTTACAATTTTAGTTTTTGGATGGGATGGAAGGAAGCATGCATGTGTAGATCTAATATGAGTTTCCCTTCTTGTGGGTCTGGGAAGCGGGATTTTCATTGTAGGGCAAACTGTTTTAAAAGTTGCATCATGCAAAGTGACAAAACATAAGACAACATGCATGGAGAATCAATACATGTTTATACATTTTGCAACAGATGATGTGGAAGTCCTCAATAGAGTCCAACGGGTCATGTATAGTAATGTTATAACCACAACAGATGATGTGGAGCTTCTCGATAGAGTCCAACGAGTCATGCATGGTAATGTTATAACCCTAAAATTTATGAATGCTGTTTTTAAAAGCATTAATTTTATCATAAAAAAAAATCGCGGTACACGTTGTTGCTTGTTTTTCGCTACACGTACATGTAAAACTTTTATTACCTATATATATCCATATAAATTTAATCAATTTTATCTTGAAATCTTATTTGGGGGTAGTTTTACAAAAGAATCCCCGGTTCACCCGAAATGTGATACAGGGCCCAAAACCGCCGTCAAGAAATCCCGAAACCCTACATAAACCCTGAATCAATTTCTGCCATCGGTTTCTTAAAATAGCAAAATAAAGCCTCCATCCACCTTTCTTCTTCCTCAAGCTTCAGCTGCCTATAGAATCGATGGTTTGAAGGAAATCACAGATATATCACTTGGAAGCATCAGGCAACATCAATGGCAAAGACATCCGCTTCAGGGATTTTTAACTTTTCTCCGTTCTCTTCTTCACCCTCACCCTCACCCTCACCCTCGCCGTCGCCGGCTGTTGGTGGGTCTGTTGATCCTCAACCGTCTGCACCGAAAAATGAGGAACCCACCACTCCGCGGGTTCGTAATGACAACCCAAGAACGACATCATCTGGATTTGATCCAGAGGCATTGGAAAGAGGTGCTAAGGCTCTTAGGGAAATAGCGGCCTCTTCTCAAGCCAAAAAGGTCTAATCTTTGACATAGTTTTTTTTTTTCTTTTATTGTTTTGATCTGTTGGGTAAACGTTGCAACGAATTGAATTCGTATGTACGAAATTAACATTTGCTTATTCTTCGCTTTTAGGCTTTTGAGTTGATGAAGAAGCAGGAAGAGACTAGGCAGACAGAGTTAGCTTCAAAGACGGCTGAATTTAAAGTAATGCAAGCTCAGGCTGAAACTGTAAGTTTGACACTGCCCCTGCTTCCAAGATGACTTTATGATATATCTTCATGCATGTGAATCACATGTTCTGAACTTCTGATTATAGACGAGTTTATTACTTGTGTTTATTTAGATCAAGTGTTTGGGTTAGTCTTATTCCTGTTTCAACCAACCCCTTAAAATGTATACATATATATATACTCTCGTGTGCACACATATTTCACATAATTGAAAAGTCTTGCGGGGATCTTTAATCAGGAATAGGCACTATCAATTGAAAAGACTTCTAACTTTGCCAATCATAAGAAGCTGAGATGTTCAAGGATCTTAATTAGGCCTAGGATACTGACTAATAGCTTTGTGGTGTTTATCTAATGACTTGTGCATGCTGTTTCTTTATTGTTGATTTAGGAAACAATGACTATCATTTTGATTATTGATGCAGTTTTAGGTCATATACAAAGTTGATTTGGAAATAAGTTCTGAATAAGCATAGGGGTCTAATCATGGAACATAGTGCTTACTTCTACAACATGAAAATAACTGGAAAATCTAGCTAACATGTATAACAATGACCATTAATAACATTTCTTGGCTACAAGCAGTGGCTCAAGATTTTCTCCTTTCACTTTCCTTCTTTCCCTCTACCTTCCTTTTTCTTATAAGCTGAGATTATTTCCTTTTTTTCCATGTTTAATATTAAAGCATATGTCTTTGTAAAAGTCTTATCACTTCTATGTTAGTCCTGAACGATGGTTATCCAATTACTTCACACGCCAACTTAATTTGGTCATATAAGTCTTTAATCTTCATTTAAAGTTGCATTTAGAATATGCATCTTACTATTATTTTATATTTTTGTTTATGTTTTCCAGGAGAGACAAAGAGTAATATATGATGAACAAAAAAAGCTAGCTCAACAACAAGCTCAAATAAAATCACAGATGGCTCGATATGAAGATGAACTGGCACGAAAAAGAATGCAGGCATGTTTTGTTCCCTTCATATTTTTATGGTTTAATTCATAGAGGCATGAAATAAACTTGAAAAAATCTTTCAGGCAGAAAATGAACATCACAGAACAAGAAACCAAGAACTTGTTAAAATGCAAGAAGAATCATCAATTAGACAAGAACAAGCTAGAAGAGCAACAGAAGAGCAAATCCAAGCACAACGTAGACAAACAGAAAGAGAAAAAGCTGAAATAGAAAGAGAAACAATTAGGGTTAGGGCTATGGCTGAAGCAGAAGCAAGAGCCCATGAGGCTAAATTAGCAGAAGATGTGAATAAACGAATGCTTGTAGAACGTGCAAATGCAGAAAGAGAAAAATGGGTTTCTGCCATTAACACTACCTTTGAGCACATTGGAGGTAGTGAAAAAATCTTGGTTTTTATTTCTTATTTTTTGAATGGATAAAACCTTTTAAATCATGTCTGTTTTGTAGGGGGATTGCGTGCAATATTAACTGATCAGAACAAGATGGTTGTGGCTGTTGGGGGTGTCACAGCCCTTGCTGCAGGGATCTACACAACAAGGTATAGTTTTTCACTTTGATATACAAAGTGTAATTAGTTAGTGATAATTGCTTAGGTGTTGTTTCTTTTTAAGTTAATGGACTTAGTGTGTACATCTCTTAATGTGAACAGTTATATATAGCTGTTTCTTTTTTACTTAATCCATACTGAAATGACTTAATAGGATGACTATAGGGATATGCAAAAAAAGAAAACAAATATCTTTTCGTGGACGAATCTGAGGATTTGGTTTCTACATTTCTTCTTTAAAAAATCCCTTTCAGCATATAAAAATTACGTCGAGCCTGAATTGATTGTTCATTCTGACATGTTGATTTCTTTTTTTGTACATATTTGAATTGATGTCTTCATTTGTATAAATGTTCAAAACTGTTGGTACTGTAAAAATCGTTTGTTAAATAGTTAGAAGGATAAGATGGTCATTTACTTGTATCTAGACAGTTTATTCGGTCCAAAAAAGGAATAGTCTTTGTGTATATAGGAGTAACTCCATACATACAACACTTCACCCATTCAGGAGTTAATAAGAATAAAAAAAGTAACATGCCCTTAATCTTTATAGTTTTAATAAGATAAAGAGAAACAACTGTTTGTATTACAGAGAAGGTGCTAGGGTGGTGTGGAGCTATGTGGACAGAATCTTGGGACAACCATCTTTGATCAGGGAATCTTCCAGAGGAAAATATCCATGGTCAGGCTTTTTTTCCCGTGGGCTGAGCAGCCTGTCACGTGGTGGTGGTGGTGGAGTTGCCACTCAAAATGGGAAGAATGCATTTGGTGAAGTCATTCTTAATCCATCTCTTCAGAAGAGAATTCAACAGTTGGCTGGTGCAACTGCAAATACAAAATCTCATCAGGCACCATTCAGGAATATGCTCTTTTATGGTCCTCCAGGAACAGGAAAAACCATGGCTGCCCGAGAGCTTGCCCGAAAATCTGTATGAATCTTAATCTTTTCTTTTTTCCATTGCTGTGTGTATTTATGATTTGAAATGTTTACAGGGGCTTGATTATGCATTGATGACTGGTGGAGATGTTGCACCTTTAGGTGCACAGGCTGTTACAAAGATACATCAGTTGTTTGATTGGGCCAAGAAATCTAATCGGGGTTTGTTGCTTTTTATTGATGAAGCAGATGCATTTTTGTGCGAGTAAGTCATTAATTAATTATTCTTATTCTTTTTGTTAATATATAATAGCCTGATTGGTAAAACTAACAAGAAATGTATCTTTTTGTTTTAAAAAAAATTCAGGAGGAATAAAACATATATGAGTGAAGCTCAAAGGAGTGCCCTAAATGCCCTTCTATTTCGAACTGGTGATCAATCAAAGGACATAGTCTTGGCTCTTGCAACAAATCGCCCTGGTGATCTTGATTCAGCTGTAGCAGATCGTATTGATGAAGTCCTGGAATTCCCATTGCCTGGAGAAGAAGAAAGATTCAAGCTTTTGAAACTATACCTAGACAAGTACATTGCAAAAGCTGGTGCAAGAAAACCAGGCTTCTTTTCAAAATTCTTTCAGAAAGAGCAACAGAAGATAGAGATCAAAGGTTTGACCGATGATATACTGAGGGAAGCTGCTGCAAAAACAGATGGATTTTCAGGAAGAGAGGTTGCAAAGCTTATGGCAAGTGTACAAGCTGCTGTTTATGGAAGTGAAAACTGTGTACTTGATCCACTTCTGTTTCGTGAAGTGGTTGATGATAAGGTGGCTGAGCATCAACAGAGAAGAAAGCTGGCGGGGAATGAAGGTGGTGATTAGTTAGTTATTTGTTGTTGTTTGGGTGGCATTTTGGGGCATGCAGGTGAGTTATCTGCTTTTGTGTCTTTGGTGGTCAACCCATTCGGTCAAATTGGGATGAAAGAAAGATTCTGGTACATCTGATAAAGAGTTGTTATTGATATACACAAACAGGAACAATTATTAATTGGCTTTGTATTAGGCAAAGAATCGACTTTATTTTTAACAAGATGAGATGAATGTTTTGTTTGTTTGTTTGTAGCCAGAAATTTGTTGCAATAAAATCAGAATTTAAAGCCAGCAGTTTTGTGTTTGTCTTTTCTCGCTTCCAATAAAATTTATATCAAATGACCATTTTTGCAAATTGGAAAATTGAACATGATAAGTCTGATGAGTATATCATTATTTGCAAGCATGCCAAGAAGCTTTATAAAGATTTAGTACATTGTTGAAATAGAAAATGGAACACAAGCTGGAAACATGCAGCATGAATAGAAGATAAAATCTAGTGATGGTGATCCTGGACATAACGTAAGCCACAGTACTTGCAAACAGCTGGTTCACTCTTGTCAAGGCATATGAACTCTATGGGATGCCCAAGTGCAGGATTTGTGTCTGAAATAAGAAAACACAGTAAAACCAAGTTAAATATGATGTCTATATATATATATATATATATATATATATATATATATATAGGAGTGGGAAGAGAAAGCAACCTCCTTCACATGCTGCAATCCTGCCCTCAACTTTGATAGGAGGGACTTCATTGATCAACTCCATGGGAGATTTCTTGCTCGTATCCTGTCAATCACAAGGGATAAACAATGAGTAGGAGCTATTGGTTTGTAAAATGTTTGTGGAACGAATGGAATCTTTCAATCTAAAAGATTCTTAATATGTGTTTGCTTGGCATGGAATGGAATGAATTCTCTTGGCTCTTGGGGGTATGTCAAATGAATGGGAATGTAAATTGTATAAAATGGAAAAATAACCTTTGTTGATTTTTAATGCGAATACTTTTTTTATTTTATAAAAAGGTTTTCTGCAAAAAAGTTTCATTATTTTGGGAAATTTTTTGATAAAATCCTAAATCTTTTTTTATTAACAGAAAAATCTCATTATTTTGGGGAAATCACATAATCTGTTATTTCTTGTTAAAATAAAAAATTGGATTTTTTCGTTAATTTGGGCAAAATGTTAAATAATCGGGACTTTTCTGTTAAAAAAAAAAAATTAGGACTTTATCAAAAAAAATTCCAAAATAATGCATAAAGCCCTTTATAAAATGCTAGAATTAAGTTAACGAAAATTTTAATTTATTAAGCTATATTTTTTAGTAAAGATGGATTGCACAAATAACTAAGACGAAGACATGATCTTTTACATACTTAAAAATTTTGTCTCAGGTAGAAGGCAGCTGATTTTTTTAGTTTGTTCTAAAAAGATGTATAATGCAGTGGCCATGGTAACTTTTTAACATAAAAAGGGTTTTTAAGGGTGATTTAATCTTTTTAGTGAAGGATCAGGAATGATAAAATCATTCAAATAAAGATTTTGATGGAATTCAACTGCATTGATTATTTATCAACCATACACAACATGGGGGGAAATCTTTCATTCCAATTCCTTCGAATATCCTCAGAATCCATGAACCAAACACCACTTTAGATTCACAAATCAATTAAAAAATTTCAAGTGATGATTATCAGAATCAAAAGTATTGGATTGAAATGAAGAACAAAGAATGCCATTTATAATATACACGACACACATTGATGGCAAAAATGTCTGAAGAGAGGAAATAATCACAATCACAATCAAGAAACAAGTATAGGGCACAAGGGGGTTGAATCTTAACACAAATGTCAAATAACAGTATGTATTATTAGGGGACATGAAACTTGTCCAACCCTCTAAAATGCAGCTCCACCTCCACCCAATGGTTTTAGACGAAGTTTGGTTTTCCAAACACCCACTTACTGGTTTGAGCTTTATTAAGATTCTAGATTACAAGATTTAACAATTCATGATTTTTATTAACAAATGAATAGTTAACTTCATGAAATTAGCGTCTGATTGTTTGTTTATGACTTGATGTGTATGCCCCATTGTGAAATAAATAACATATACATGGAAAACCTAATCGACCAACTGGTAATACAAGGAAAAGAAAACCTTTTTAGGGGTTATACCAACCTGCATCCATTTAGCGGTGTGGCTGATGGTGATTTCGCTGTTAACGACGCCGCTGAAGGGTCTGAGCGACGATGAAGAAGAAGATGTTTTCAGGGCTTTCAGAAAATTGGAAGTCATGGAAAATCCTCGTTTCGCCCCGTTCATTGCCATCGAATCAATTGAGATCAAGGATGGTTTGAATGGAGAAATGAAGATCGTGGGTAATAGGGTTGGAGTTCTCGGCCTGCGCTTCCTCTTGTGTTTGTAGCAGCCGATTTGATTGAGCCAAAGTACGAAACGGGTTGTAAATTGTAACTTGTACCCCCATCTAGTTTGTAGTTATTTCATTTGAGCACTTCAACTTTTTTGTCAATGAGACACATAAGAAGTTGATTCTTAGGCTAAAAAGAGTGGTGCGGTAAGGATGTACCTCTTACATGGAGCTCGGCAAGTGAAGAAAAAAAATCCCGTGAATGACATGTTTGTATCGTTTCTCCCTCTTCTGCAATATATGGGGTTGAGGTGGGCTTCTTTTAGGGTAAGGTGGGCAACGACATGTGGTTTGTCATTCAGGACCATTTTGTTTAGTATTGTCAGCAGTCTCTTAGGGGTCGTTTGATATAGGTTCTAACCGGGTCCAAAGAGAGATTGGGTCCAAAAAAAGACAATTGGCATGTTTGATAATGATTTGAAAGTCAAGGACTCGGTCCAAAATGTGGACTCGGTCCAAGGTTTTCATCAGATTCAGTCCTCTCTTTTCTATTGATGGACCGAGAAGAAAAGTATACAATTCCCGCCTTGCCCTGATACTTTCAACGCCCATCGTGAATGACCCAACCTTTTCTCCCTCTCCAGCTTCTGTCTTCGCTGGAGTTTGCTCCCCCTTCTGTCATTGTCGACACAACACTCCTCCTCCACGTACCCAACACAACGATTCTCCTCCATTTACCCAACGACGCATCCTTGACTCAACATACTCCATCGCAGGTTATCCATCGTCGACCTTATCCTTCATCTCTGCCGGTAAGGCCTACAATCGATTTCTGATCCCCTTTATCTCTGATCCTCGTAATATTTAAACTTTTTCATTCGTTTTTTGCAATCGATTTTTTGTAGGGTTTGTAATCGATTTCTGCAATTGATTTCATTTCATTTTTGTCTCCGTTAATCTCTTATGTGCTTCATGCTTTGTTTGTGTTTAGAACTAGATATGTTTTCAATTAAATGTGCTTAAAATCAGTTATGCCTTCTATGTGTTCGACAAAATGCCCCTGTTATTTATGCCTTCATCATATCTATTTGTTTAGAGGTACACAACTTTATTTATTATATTTGAAGAATATGATATGATATTTCTATAGCCAAACCATTCGGTGGTGAGAAGGAAGGATTTTTTGTTGTGAAAGAGACTGCATTTTCAGCCAAATGCAATCAAGAGTTAAGCATCTTTGATGAACATTGTGGAAAAAAGGGAAAGGAATATGCATCTTTGTTGTCAAATATGGTTGATGGTGTCCCAAAGAAACCAAGAAGTTCTCAATCACACAATGAACCCACAAACATATATATTGTATATTGTAGATTAATGGTTCTTTGTATCGAAAAATGCTTTGTGCTTGTATACATCTTTTTTGAAGAATGGTTGTAAATTACATCATTTTATAAATTATATCATCTTGTTTTGAAGTATTCAGTCAATTTCATTGTTATTTTTTGAATATTTTTATAAAAATGTAATGTTATAAATTAAATGATAAAGCATAAAGAAATTATTATAAAAAATGTTGTTTGGGGGTAATATAGTAATTTTGCACAATCAGTCAGATGCAAAATCAAACAACAAGTTTCAGTCAGAAGTTAACTCAGTCATAACTTCTAACCGAGTCAGCTTCTAATTCAGTCAGCTCTGACCCAGTTAGCTCATCCTAGCCTCATATGAGAGAGATATGGCAGTTCAAAGATGACGAAAACTTTATATAAACTAAAAATGCTGGAAAAAAACCAAGTGTGAAAAAAAAAACATATAAGCATAAGACTACATAACAAGTACTTTATCGTTAGTAACAACATTTTCAAAGTATTATAAAGCCGAGAAACAAATATAAGTATATAAGTATATGACCAATACAAGTACTTCCATTCCAAAACAAGTTAAAAATGGATACTAAAAATTCAACATATCAACTATCTACTCTAAAATGTCCATAAGCGTCATCCTTTTTCCTTGTCCATTTTTATTGTGTGTCCCTTCTTCATACCTAGTATAAAAGTAAAAACCGGAAATAAAACATAGTTAGTATGTAATCAATGAATTGGTATAAAAAAAACCATGAAATATGTTCAAACTTATTACTCGCGGCTACACCGTCATCTTTTAAAAGATTTTCAATATTGTCAATAATTGTTTTCCTCAATTTTTTTTCTAACCCAATCTTGGGTGCAAACCAAAGCCTCTACTATAGGTGTCGACAAACTTGTTCGGTGTGGATATAATATATGCTCACTTGTTATGTGGAAGTGTTTGCCCCATGGCATACATGTTTGGCAATTTTTTAATCAAAAAATATAATTCTTTATCAATGGAAGTCACATTATCAATTGTCATACTCCTAGCATTTTTAATACCCCAACCATGTATGCAACCTAATAACTCACGATCTATGTCATTTCCCTTATGACTATCGATAGGTATAAAATTAATGATGCTTTTGTGCATGATCCAATTTTCATCTATGAAATACGTCATGACCCATACAGTTGATCATTTGACACGAGTTAGTCCAAGTGTCCATAATCAAATGCATTGCAGTTGTTGTAGTACTTAAGTAATCGAACAATTTTTCTTTCATCAACATAGTAAATTGCAACATCGTTACTAATTTTATGTCGAGATGGCAAGGTTACATTTCCATCAAGTGTGCTCGTATACTCAATAAATGCTTCATTTTCAACAAATTTAAAGGGTAGTTCACACATAGTTGGATAAACTTAATAAAGCTTTTTCTTATCCTTTGTCATCGGGCTTCCATATACTTACACTTCTCTCACCACTATTTTTTTTAAAAATTGAAGTGTACTTTAATTTTTAGTACTATCCGATTTTTTTAATAATTAGGATAATGTTTTCTCAATCTAGAAGTACCGCTATTCCGTGTATCATCTTCGAGAATCATGAAGCAAAATTTGCATTTTTCATGCTCCCATTTAACTCCATCATCATCTTTTATCATGACCTCGTCAAAGCATCTCCAAGCATCAACTCTTTTCTTTGATTCATTAGGTTGTCTTTTTTTTACTCGTTTATTGCACATTGTCTTGGTTTTGGGTATTCTCAACAAAGATAACATAAACATCATCCTAAACACAATAAAACATTGCAATGCAAAGTAAACATAAGGATTTCCAACAAACCAATACAATTACAACTTGAATTTTTAAAAAAAAAGTACTACTAAAGTACACTAATTTCCAACAAATCAAAATATAATTTCATGAAACAATACTACTAAAGTACATTAATTGCCTACTAATCAACTAGAATTTTCCAACAAACAAATACAAGTACAAAGTTACAACTTACAAGTAAGTTACTCTAAATCTTTACAAAACCAATACAACACACTAGAAATACATGGAATGATAAACATCAATGAGAATACATGATTATTTGAAAACTACAACAATAGGGTTTGCAAAATATCCGAATAGTTTTTTGTCTTATGAATTCTGCTTCGGTTCGTCGTAAGATATTTTCTATATAAAAAAATTTCTTAATAAATATCTAATATTTAAATTAAGCTCAAAATAGCTAAATAAACTTATGTGTACCATGAAAGTTAATTATATAACAATTATTAGTTACTTGATTTTGTAAGTCTAACTATTCTAAAAGTAAAAAATCAAAAATGTAGTCTATATAATTTCAAATAGGTTAATGACTTATATGTATAATAAATATTATCTCATGTACATATTTAGTCCCATATATATTTTTGTGCACATATAATTATTAAACTTGTTTACAATTTTCTAAAATATTATAATGATCGGCTATTGTAGGCTTGATTGGTTTTCGGGGTGCTTGGTAGCTCTGGTAAGACTTCAGACATCTTATCCAGAAAAAAACTCAACAAAAAAAATCATATATCTGTCGTATAAGAACATTATAGGTTTAATTGTTTTCGTCGTCCTTGGTAGCTCCAATGAGATTTCGGTCATCTTCTCCCACCACAAAATTGCTCCAGATATGTCATATGTGAACAATCAGATATGCGATTGATGAACCTTCAAAGACATAGGATTTTCAAAAACTCAAAAATCGATTGTTCATATATGTCATAGTTTTGGAACATGATTTTCAAACATGTCATGGGTTTTTATTTTAAAAAAACTCACTAGAACTCTAGAAAGTCACCCGAAAAACCTTAACACCTCGTTCCCGAGTTCAACTTAACTAGAGAAAGGAAAGGAAATGAGTGGAAATGAGAAAAAAATAAAAGAAATTGGTGTTCCCGAGTTTTATTAAATGAGGGAAGTGGAGGGAAAATGGGAGGATCACTTTCCGTCCTAACTTTCCTTCCGATTTGGGAGGATTTGGAAAGAAATAACAAAATTATTCATTTTCCTTCCACTTCTCTCCAACTCAGGAACACAAAAGAAAATTTTGTTTTCCTTTCCCTTCTCTTTTTTTCTCTCATGATTTTCTTTTCTCATCTCTTCTTTTCTTTTGTTGAACTCGGGAACGAGGCGTAAGGTTGATGAATTAACATGACTTCAAGGCAAATCAATTTTGATTTCGTTTCAAGCCGTCTATAATTTGAAAAATCCACCTGAAACGAGAAATCTTTTTTCAGCTCTAATGTGTGTGTGTGTGTGTTCATCGTGTTCTTGCGTTTCAGAGCAAGATGCAAGACGAAGATCATCTTGAGATGGTATCTACTTCTTGAGCATCAAACGATTTATGGGTTTAATAATCAAATGGTTTGTGGGTTTGAGTTCTTGAGTTCTTCATCAAATTTGTTTTAGATTATTGGATTTAAGCATCATGTGTGTGTGTTTATTCTTGAACATCTGAAGATTTGTGGGTTTGAACATAATAACAAATGAAGTATGTGTATGCGAGTGAGCGTTTTTGTTTGGTCGGATAAGATGACCGAAAAAATAATGTCTGGCGGGAAAATTCATGTTTGATCGTAAACCTACACTAAGAGGTCATATGTATGTTTTTTGAACGTGGTAAACAAGTTTTATGGTCATGTATATAGTTATATACATAAAAACATAACATAAGTGAATAAATGTATATGCGGAGTCAAGTTTATTACCCATACAAATAATTTTCCTTTTTCACTTATATATAATAAGAATTTCTTATTATATATAAGTGAGAATTGTAATTCTGAAGGGTTCTAAAGCAGCAACGTCAGAATTTGAGGGGGCTTAAATGAAAATAAACCCAACTAGTTTTCAGATGCTATACGCTTGAAAATCCCCCTTCTGTTCAGCAATTGCACAGAGTGAGGAGTCGCCAGCAATGGCAGCAATAGGTGGAGGAAGCGGTTCCTCAAATGCAAACGCCTCATCGTCTGCTTCTTCTCATCAAGCCCCCAAAATCCTATTAGCCAAGCCAGCTCTAGTCACTGCGGCCAAGTACAATCGCGGACCTGGTGGCGGTGGAGGCGGCGGTGGCCCCGATGACGCTTCATCGTCACTCCGCTCTCGCCTTCCCTCCGTTGGCTTTCTCAATCTGTTATCCGACTCCTGGGATTTTCCACACCGATCGCTTCCTTCCGGTAAGTTGCTAGCCTTTTTTCAACTTAACCCGTCTATATGTCGTATATTGAACTCGTTTGATCGCAGTTTTTGACGGACAATACCGATTTTACGGTGATCGGAGTGATTGGTCCTGCGGGAGCTGGCAAGTCTACTATCATGAATGAGATTTATGGCTTTGATGCAACTTCCCCTGGTAGCCTAGCATTCATGCCTCTTCTATTTCACTAGTCATCTGTATATACACTTGCATTTGTGACTTCAATTAATAGTGATTAATCTTCTGTTATCGTTCGGAGTAGGGATGTTGCCTCCTTTTCCGATAGAATCCATGGAAACCAAGGCCATGGCAAGGCATTGTACAGTTGGTATTGAACCTAGAATCACTTCTGAAAGGATCATACTTCTTGATACACAGGTTTGCACATTTAAATTCCCAAACCTTTCTTAGTTTCTTTACGTTATGCTAAATTGTGCTGTATGAATGCAGCCTGTTTACAGTCCATCGATTTTGGCTGAAATGATTAGACCTGATGGTTCATCCACAATATCAGTTTTAGGTGGTGAACCCTTACCTGCTGAGTTGGCTCATGAACTCATGAGCATACAGGTATGTACCTTAAAACAAGTAGATGTTGTTACCATTTAATCTTGTGTCAATTATGTCCATTTTATGATATGCTTTCTCTAATTGACTCTGTTATCTTTTGACAAATCCTGCAAGGAACCCCTTGTAGCTTGGTGTTCTCTTAACATCCATTTGTCACATTATATTGGTGGTTTCAGAAGGAGTTCATGATAACAACATGTGGCGTTTGATGACAACGGTATGATCATGGAATGTAATCACTCATTCCATTCCATTCCAGCCAACTTAGGGTTACCTTTTTGTGATTGGCAGGTGGACTTGCTAAAGCACAGCATACCAGACCCATCCTCCTTGTCTCTTTCCCATCCACAGAGCTCTAATTTAGGATCTGATAAAGAGGTGAAAGATAAAATTCAAGAGGTTGGAGAAGAATACATGGCTTCTCCTGTTTTTGTGCACACAAAGTGAGTTATCTTTTTTTCCCTTTCTTGATCTTTTTGTATGCATGCTCATACTATTTTTTGCAGGCTTCATGAACAAGATGTTGCACCACATTATCTAGCTCAACTAAAGAAAGGACTTAATCAGTATTTTAGCTCCACTTCTTTCAACAAACAGAAACATCAGAATGTAGATGATGGTGATTCTGCTTTTGCTGCTGCACCAATTAAGTCATTCTTTATTGCATCCAAGACTAACACTGACTCACTGGGGACACAACATGAGAGTTATCATTCTTCCTTGTGGAACCTACGTGATCAGGTTTGTTTCTTGTTTTTGGGTGTGTGTGTGTGTGTGTGTGAACCATTGTGTGATGGACTTTGTTTGTTTGTGGGTTCAGGTTTTATCAATGAGTGGTCCATCATTTTCAAGAACTGTGTCTGAGAGAGACTGGCTGAAGAACTCTGGGAAGATATGGGAATTAGTGAAGAATTCATCAACCATTTCTGATTACTGCAAGACACTACAAAATTCAGGTTTATTCAGGAGATAGAGCCATGGCATTTCATCTGTTATCTTATGTCATACACACAGAAAACAATGTAGGGCATTTTTATTTTTGTTTTTGTTAATTTTATGTCTGAATATGGAGGGAGGGATATAAACGTTTGCTATCTGTTTTGTGAGCTGAATGACAGTTACCATATATTAACTCTCTAAAATATATATTTTAATGTAATTCCAACATGCAAAATTGTTCTTGTAACAGTTTTGACGGTTAGTGCCTATATTTTATACTAAATACACTCTCTCTTTTTTGTTTATTTGCATTTTTGCACATGTTAAAAAATATTTTTCTTATAAATAATACTATCAAGATATAAAGACAATTTGTAACGACGGATTGCCTGACTAAAGGTGCACACATGCATAATGTTGGACACTTAATTTCATAGATCATCATCATAGGTGATATTTAACCAACTACATTAATTATATTGTTCTTAGACCTGGGATGCTTATCATCTCAACATTAAAAATGATGTATTAAATGTATATTAACATTTAACATCATGTATGAGAATTGAGAAGGTGGTCATACATGTTATTGAAAGGTACAAACACAAAAGGATTCATGATGCTTATGGACTTAGCATGGGTGACTGTGTGCTCCAAACACAAACGATAAAAGATGATTTGACAAAGTTGTCGGTGATATTAAAAATTACTCATTGCTATTTTCACTCGAACAGTTGAACCATTATGTGACTTGAAGAGAAATTGGGAGATAGCTTGTCAAATAATTAACAAAATTATTATACATACCGATCATGTATGATGAGCTGAACAAAAATTAAAGCTTTAAATGGGAACTTTTCATGTTTTCTGACAAAATCCTCGTAGCTTTCAAGTAAATATCATTAACTTATAAAAACATATTTGATAAGAAGAATAAGTTGGGTGGGTAGCTAACATTCTACAAACATCTAAAGACATCTTCAAAATAACAATAGATCATCCGCTAATCATCACTCCATCATCACATCTGATGAACCCTCCATGGCTGGCTTATCTGATTTTCTTTTGTTCTTACCTACAAGTGAATGTGATGCACAGATTTAAGTCAGATATCTTGTCAAACACCAAAAATAACATGAACATCGAAACAGCTGCTACAAACAAGTTTATTAGCAGAAATTCTCATCAAGAATGCATACCTTTCTTTTCTTTCTTGGTTGCACGCTTTGATTTGATTTTCACACTCTTTTTCATGTGAAACTTTACTGGAGATTTAATGGCATCTTGAGATGATGTTCCTGATCCTGTAAATATGCAACATCAGTAAGAGATATGATTGATGGCCAATGACTCGATACATATACATAGTTATGTACCACAACATAATAACTTCCGATTTACAAGATGTGATATCGTCAGAAACTGGCACTCATCTCTTCTTATCCGATGTCTACTCCTAATGGATGCATTCATTTATGTTGATATTACAAGCAAAATAATGGAAAGTGAGGATGGTATACATACCATCTGCAACAGCCATCTCGATATCTTCCATTGTAATAAGCCCCTTTTCGACAGCCTCCTTCTGGTCCTGCTCAATGTTTAGTAGATTGTTCAGTAAACCGCTTTAATTAGTCACGTAGCCAAGCAATTTTGTCCATGATAAGACTACATATAAACGTATTGTACACAAAACTATCACATACCCGGCGCCATTTTTTCAGGATCTTTCGCTTACGCTTCCCGGAGATAACAGTGTTTTGGGGCTTATGCTTGACCTTTCCAGTAAAAGGATCACCATGCACCGCTCTTTTGCGGTCTGCGATGGCGGCTCTCCGCCGCTTCTGTACCACGTTAAAAACAGCCATTTAGATATATCGCTTTCTGTCTCCCTTTGAAGCTCAAGGCAATTAGGGTTTCAAATGTTGAACAAGGGCTTCCGCAGTTCGTTATTTGTATTTTGTCGACAAGAAACTAGCAGTACGTTCCCCTCATGTCTCGGAAAAATCTTATTTAGTCCCTAGCCTTTTTATTTAGAGTAAATTCAAGGTAAAATACTACAAATAGACAAAAAAATTGGGGTCAATTTCGAAATTTAGTCATAAAAATAGATTTTTCCGGCTATAGACATACATTCCGCGGAGGACCCTCCGCGGACCTCCGCGGAACCATGAAATCTCCGCGTAGAGAGGTAATTTCGTAATTTCAACCCTTTTTTTTAGAAAAACAAAGGGGGTCCTCTTTTGGTCCCCACTTGTCCCCGTTTGTGTTCGTCACTCCGCATCGCCTCGCATAGTCGTTCATCGAAGACTTCAAATCCGGCGGAATACGCCGTCAAACGACTTCAAATCCGGCGAAATCGAGTATATAGCACTTGAAATCCGTCACCGATGGACCGTCAATTCCCTGATGTTATGGCCGATGGATACGGTTCCCGAGTATTTCTCATATTCTCATCTAATTATTAATGTCGAAAATGTCGAATATGATTCAAATTAGAGGAAACCCATTTTATTACATTGAATATGTATACAGTTTTAGAATTTTTAGGTTTACAAATCACAGGAACGATTTTTGGGATGATTCATTCCGCGGAGGGGTATGTCAGTCCGCAGAGGGTGCTCCGCGGAGTGATGTGTTACCTCCGCGGAATGTTATAATCGAAGAAATGCAGGTCTCCGCGGAGGTGAAAGTCACTCCGCAGAGAGGCCTCCGCGGAATGACCTCTAGCCTCCGCGGAATGACATTAAAAATGGTTTTTGCACAATTTTTTTTTCCTGCTTTTGCTGCCCTTTTCTTTTGTGTATTTAGTTATATATAAAAAGTATGTTGCTATTTATTTCATAAACCGAATTAGAAAAGTAATTTTGGAACCTTGTTTTTTATTTTCAATTAGTAATGTTTTAAATGAAATAAGATTTTTTTTTTGTTGTGTAGCACGAAGATCTCAATCAAAAAGCGGATTTAACTTTGAAAGGCGTGGTGGGGACTATCATTAAAGACTATTTTCCGCGCCTAACACAATCACAACGAGTATTATTCGAAGCTTCCCCCTTTGGAATATTCTTAGGAATGCATATCCCACATGGTGATCCCTTACTTGTGCATATGATGATGTTGCACGAAGTAAGGTGTCAACAAATATTTGAAATGGGGAGGTTTCTTTTTGATATAGAGGGGATCCAGTTGGATTTTGGTGAAACTGAATATATTCTCATTTGTGGTTTAAAAGTTGGTCCTTCTGTGGATTTACTCCATGACGAAAAGGGTCAGTCAAATTCAAATCTCTGTGCTCGGTTGTTCCCAGATATTTCTGATGCACGTTTGCGGCTGAAAGATTTAGAATACTTGATTATGTCCCCGAATTATTTGGCACTACAAGATGAAGATGTTGTGATGCATATCCAGCTTGTTTTTATGTTGAATGGTCTACACGGAAGGGACGTTAAAACGGGCATTCATGCAGCAGTATAATAGCACGATACTTACATTTTTATAGTATAATAGCACGATACTTACATTTTTTTCATAGATATGGATTTTGGAGACGTTCCCAGAGGCAACCAAGTTTTTATATACGCAGGCCGACAAAATTGCCACGGATGAGGGCGTGGAGAAGTAAAACACTATTATCTTGGCTTCAATGTTGTCGAATAATGAACGTGTCTGTGGTATGCTTTTTTATATTAACAATCATCCATATTTACAAATTCTAATGTATTTTCATGTTAAACTAACAATCTGATTTTTGCAGCCTAACAACCAACCTATTAATGTCGTGGCAAACCTGGAGGAGTTGATGTTGCCGTTTTATGTTCGTTATGTCAATTGGACTCTTAACCCTGTAGAGTCTCCCCCACGGCAACATAGTCTTGTCTGAAATAGTCCACCTGATGTTGCCTCGCCTGCTCGAAGAAGGATGTACAAGTCCGAAATAGAAACATTTTCGACTGAATCTGCCACAAATGCTTCTTCCTCGCAACATCTTGAAATATAAACAAGTTATATGTCAAACGACACATCAAGATTGGTAAAGAAGAAGAAGATGAGCACAAAGGCATTAGTGAAGCGTCTGCTAGACGTTGTGGCTGACTTAAGTTCTAAAGTAGACCGTGTATTACAGAAAAAAGATGAACCAAACACAAATGTTGAACCAGACAGAGGGTTTCGAGAGGAGGAGGAGGAGAAAGAGATGATAAATGAAGAGGAGGAAGAAAAACATTACCATGATACACATTTTGACTATGATGATATAGGTACTCATGGTTTGGAGGGGGAATTTGGGCCTACACCTACGGATGTTGAGTCGTCATCGGACGTGGGTGAACATCACATAAAAGAAATGACTCCTATTGTTAGGCCGCAAAACCATGGACCGCTAACGAGTATTTGCTTCTAACTCGTCCATATATTAATGTCAACGAGAACAACAGTTTGGAGGATAGAATGTTTTGGCTCCTATTAACCAATACATTCAACACTGATGTTGAAACCACCATAGAAAACCATCGCAGCACGCTTGATATAGCAGCAAAATGGTATGAATTGAAAACAGAAGTTGTGTTATTCAATGATCTTTATAACAAGATTGAAGATGATCGTGTGAATGATACTGAGGAAGACATCTTGGAGGCGGCTAAAGAAGAATACAAATCAATTAGCAACGGACAGAGTTTCGAGTTTGAAGCCCCTTGGAATCTTTTGAAAAATGTCTCGTATTTTTAACTAGTATTGCGTTTTGTATTGTGGTTGTATTGCTTTATTTATATGTAATATGGTTTTTATCCTTTATTTTTTGAAACATAATTCACCAACAAATGTTACGAAACCATACATTTAAACAAAATAAACAAGATAGGTTATGCGGACTGACAAGTCAGTAATGTGGACTGACAAGGTTTACTTTATATAAAAAGATAGGTAACGCGGACCGACAAGTCAATAACGTGGACTGAAAAGTCAGTAACGCGGACTGACAAGGTTTACTGTATATAAAAATATAGGTTATGCGGTATTTTTACAAAGGTAGAGAAAGTTGTGAATATGAGTTCAGTCAATCAGGTAATAAGAAAAAGTTTCTCCACCCTACCGAGTTTTTTCCATAATTTGCAAAGAACCAATCCTAACACCTTCACGTACATTACGAAAGATCAGTACAATCGTTTCAAAGTTTGTTTTGTGGCATTGGGATGCGTGGTATGTAATCCCTTATAGTAAATATTTAATTATCTGAAGTTGTTATATAGCTAACATTATTATCTTCACTTGCAGATTCGTACGTTTCTCACGTCTATGATACCAATCATATTCGTTGATCATGTACCTCTAATTGGGACGTACGTAACATCCATGTACATTGCGGTTGGTTTAGATGGAAATCATGAACCCCTTCTCATAGCTTTTGCTTTGGGAACCATATATGGTTCATGAGGAGGCTTAAAGAATGTTTAGGTGATAATACAGAAGTTGGTTTCATAAGCCATATGTCTGATTCCATAGACTTTGCAGTTCAAAGAATCTACCCTGATTCATATCATGGCTATTGTTGTAAAAATATAGTCGACAAAATACGCGCTTCCACCGGAAGCAATACAGTTGTACAACAGATGTTCTGGAAGACTTGTAAAGCGTATACTATGTCTGATTTTTATGCATGTTTGAACAACTTACAAAATGCGGTGAATGGGAATGATCTTGATTGGCTTGACAATATTCCCATTGCAAAATGGGTACGGGCTTTTTTCCCTAGAGTACGTTTCAATGTTAAATTCATTGACATTCCCGATGTTGTCAATTGGTTAAGAACAAACAGGCATGAGTTTCCAATAACAACAATCATTGAAATGGTTCATGACTCGATGCAAGCAGTGTATGTTCAACGTGCTGCGTTTGGAGGTAATTATAATTTATGAAATCACTCAAATGGTCAATTGATATGTTATGATACATTATGACAAGGTTTACATTATGACATCATAATATTTGTTTTTTCATTAAGTTCATTTCACAGGGGATTTTCATGGTCTTCTAACCCCTTATGCACTTAAGGTGCTTCATAAAAGATTTATCCACTCCGATGGTTGTAGGATTAGGCATATTGTTGGCGACAGATATGAAGTGAGTAAGTATTCAACCACCGAATCTGTGCAATTGGAACTGTGGTATTTGTAGTTGAAGTAAATGGCAAAAATGCGGTATACCTTGTGAGCATGCTATAGCTTCACTACAAAGGCTTGAAATTGTAGAAATCCAACAAATGGTAATTTTAAAGTTAAGTACCGCGGTGTATCGAAATGGTTATCAAACTGAGACAGTCATTCCTATTCCAACCCTTAGGCATTGGGAAATACCAGTTGAAAGTGTTGTGGTCTTACCTCCACGACAATTCACTTTAACTGTAATGTATGGATCACAACGAATCCCATATTACTTTGTATTCAGTTCTATGTTAACCGTAATTGTAATGTTCTGTTGGCGTTGTTTACTTTTTAATAAAAATTGTTTGCCTTTAAATAAATAATTGTATTCCCATAATTGTAATGTAGGGATGACAACGACAAACAGTTATGCAGACTGACTAACAGTTCTGCGGACTGACTAACAGTTCTACGGACTGAGTAACAGTAATGCGGACTAACAAACAGTTACGCGGACTGACCATTCGCTCTGCGGACTGACAAACAGCTTTGTGGGCTGACAAAAAGCTCTGCGGACTGACAACAGCTCTCTGCGGAGTTGAAGGGTCTATATATAGTCATGGATGGTCGTTGGATTTTTGGTATAGAGTTATATTTTTTAAAAAATTTAATATGAGTTCATCTTCAAGTTTATATATTTGCTCGTGCAACGAAGTTGATTGTTTCTATTGTGATCCGATCGACCCTTTTCTTGCCACACCACCAAATTTAAGCCAGCCGTATATGTCTGAGGATAGTTTGCAACAACTACAATGGGCTGAATAACAAAAAAAAAAAGATAAAGAGTCATCTCGAGCTCTCACTGAACGTCGTGACCTCATTGCGGCGGAGTGCAAAGAGGTTGAGGAAAGGATGACGATTACTAAAAAAAATAAAAGATCATGAGGAATGGATAAAAAATACAAAGAAGAATATCAAACTGTCTGAAAAAATGGCTTGCTGAGAAGGATGCGGAAATGATAGATCTTGGGTGCTAAAAGGACCGTAATGAAGATAAAATAAGAATTAGGGACGACTACATAACAATGGAGAAAGAAAAGTATCCTTTGCAATTCCCTTAAGTTAATTACTGTTGTTGTACGTTTATTATATGTTTTTGGTTTGTTGTATGTATTAGCTTCGAGTTTTAGTTATTACTCTACTAGTAATGATGCACTAATATAATCATAATATTACCCATCATCTTTAAAATAAACACACCATTTCAAAGTACACAAATTAATGTCTTCTAAAACAAAACATAATTAATTATAAATACAACATCAATCATTCAAATCAAACGTTGAACAATAGTCTTCTCTTTGCGTCCCACTCGTCCAGCGCGTCTCTTGTGTCCCGTGCGTCTCTAGTGTCTCATGAGTACCTTGTGTCCCTTTCCCTTTCCCTTTTGTGTTACTACCTGATGTCGCACTACTTTTTGTAGCCTTTTTTGTTTCTTTGGGACCAATGCTGGACAAGTCGCTGCATTATGTGTTGTACTATCACATCTACTACACCTTCTTACTATAGGTTCCTCAACTTGTGACGGGATACAATTTCTGCGGTCTACCAGCTTGACGTGTATCCATTATCGGGGGTTTAATAACCATCATCTCAACAAGAATCTCCCAATCACACGGTTCTGGAAGGGGGTAAACCGGCTCCTCATACGTACTTCGGTACGTTTCCATTTTGTAAGCATCTACAGCCAGATGTCCTAAGTTAGTTTTTTTCAAGTGCTTCAAGACCATTATGACATGACCACAAGGCAACCCAATTCCTTCCCAATATTTGCATGTACAAGTCTCTTGCCTCAAATCAACTATGCCACCATGTTTGAAATCATGCACTTGATATATTGCATCTGAAACACCAGAAACGGACCATCCTGTCGTACGCTCTTCATTTTTACTAACTACTTTTCAGCCCACTCGGTTAGCACTGTTGAAAGTTTCCCTGTAAAGAAGATATATATAATTAACTTATTATTCGACCTAATTAAAGTCCAAATTAAATTCATACCTCCTTCGATGCGACGCCTGTTACACCATTCCTGTGAAAGACGACGGAATAACTCAAAAAGGGGTATTATAGGCATCTTCCTTGCATCTACAGATAAAGCATTCATGGACTCTGCACTGTTCGAGGTCATGTAATCGTACCGTTTCGACAGCGAATATGCTCTAGCCCATTTAGCACGGGGAATTTCACTTAGATACGCTGCTACTTGCGGCCTAGTAGAACTAAATCTATACCACAATTCTTCAAAAACATTTCTTTTGTAAGCTTTCACAAGCCTCCAAAACAACACTTTTGTTTTATCATTTTTCCCAAACCTGTGTACTATGTTTCCTAGTAGATGAAAAGCACACAAGCCATAATGAGCATGTGGGAAAACATTTTCAATACTAACCCGAATTGCATCGGCCCTATCAGTTACAAAAGTCAATTGTTGACAATCACCAACGCATTCATACAACTTTTCAAGAAACCATGTCCAAGTAAGACCACTCTCTTTTTTGCAATTTCTGTGCGCAAGGGGCAGTATCTGGTTGTTCTCATCCATAGCTACTGCATGCAATATGGTTCCCTTAAAATCACCCTTCAAATGGGCACCATTCATAATTATAACTTTACGACAAAAACGTTTAAACGCTCGTATCTGCAATATATTAAAATGGAACACATAAACACTCTATAATTTTTTTAAATAAGTTATATATTAAATAACAACAAGTTTTTTGTATTTATCGTGCTCCCAATGGGATAAAAACAACACTCGAAACAATCTTCAGAATCTGTTTGAATATAGGCCACTGTACCGGGATTATGCCTCTTCAAATTGTGAAAAGAAATAGGAAGTTTGGAAAAACATTCTTCAGAGGATCCCAACAACAGTTCTATAGCATATTGTTTTGCACGCCAAGCTTGTTTGTAATCTACATTGATTTCCAGCAAAGCATTCAAATCCCTTGATATTTCAGTAGGCCTCCAAACCTTGGAACGGTTTTTCCCATAATCTCATGCAATATAATACTCATTACTTTTTTATTAGCATGCTTATGATTAGGGTGTATCTGTAATGACGAACATGTGTGCACGTTGTTGAAAGTCCTGATTTCAAATTCATCAGTGGGATCAAGGCGTTTTGCATATAAACGCCAAATACAGTTCTCAATTTCACACTATACCTCATAACGATTTTTGTTAGAATGTTTGGTCT